ATATTTTATATTTTATATTTTATATTTTATATTTTATATTTTATATTTTATATTTCTTATTTTTGGGAATATTAACAATTTTCCTTTAATTTTTTAAGTTTTTTAAATAATATTAAAAATCATACGAAAGTCTGTGGAAGATATAATAATTTTATCAAAATATAAAATAATTTTTCTTTTCTCTTTTCAGGAAAAAAATGAAAGAAGTAAGCTATGTAAAACAATTTTATTTATAGTTTCCTTTAGTACGTGTTTCCCAAAATCTCTGTAAAGAATGCGTATGGGAATTATGGAATATGGAGTCAAAGTAAGTGAACGAGTATTGTGAAGTCAGTCACGTACGACTGCAACGTTCGTATTCGTTATACTCATATGCAAAAGGGAAATGACTTCTATGCTTTCAGTCTGTCTGTCCGATTGAACGTGTATTTGTCTGTCTGCATGAGCGTAAATCTGTTAGCGAATTGGTATTGGAAATAGATTTTTTAAAATAAAACAAAATGAAACGATTAATGTGCTATGCAAATCTTTTACTGATTTGCCAGCGTTAGGGCCGTGAATGAGTATCATGCAGTTGTTAACACCCGATTGCAATGCTCCTGCTTGATTTTCAATTGTCATTTTAAATGTTTGTTTAATAAGCAAAAATTATTGTGTGGAAAAATGTGCGAGCTGCAGCGCGCTCATCGGCTTAAATGCCAACCAGAGAGTCGAATGGCTTTTATATGACGAGTGTCGGTGTGTGTATGTGTGTGAGTGTAGGAATACATGTCTGTTGCTGTGTGTGGGAAACGGCATTCAAACGGACGTAGCTGGCACGCGGTGCGGCCGTTGCCGTCCGTTTGTCGTCGGCTGTTTAACTGCACTTGGTCACGAAAATCATCAGCGCCAACAGTCCGCGCCAGCCCGCACCACCGCTGACCCCTATCGAACGGTGCTCGTTCCTTTTCCTGTTGCTGTGGTGCGCTGATTATCCACTGCAAATACACACAGTTGATTATAGTTTTTCGTGTTTGGCGCAGAGCGCAGAGCGCAAGGCTAGGGGCTCCGTGGCGGCTCTAAAATATTTAGCGCGTTGATTTAGATTTGCCAGCGAAAGGTATTTAGCCAGCGTGGCTTGTTCTAGATGGGTTGAGTACAGGTAGTATAGAGGGGATGCATTTGAGGACCACAAATGGACAGCCAGCTCGCAGCAGTTGGAGCTGTTGCAGCAGCTGCCATTTCGTACGCCGGACGCATTTCTTGGCTCCGCATTTTGACCGGGCGCCGTTTTAATTCAAAATCAACAATTTCTGCGGTTCAGTGGACGGTTAAACATGTTTAAACAGGGGAGCTGAGCCAGAAACCGAGGGGTAAGGGGGCGGTACGGGCGCACGTAGGCATTAGCCAGCGAAATTTCATAAACCATGCACCGAAGTCCGCTTCGTTCTCGCGGAAACGTTTTGTTGGCACCGTTGCTGCACTCGTATATATGAATATATACGTATACATATAAATGTTTATTTATATTTTTTATCGTAGTTTTTATTCGTGGAAAACCGAGTGCGAACAATAGCGCACCGCCCTGGCAACGAGGCGTATGATTGTTTGCCAAACGAAATGGAAAAGGCAAAAGTGTTTGCTTTTTTTTTGCATTTTTTTCTGGAAATATCTTCTTCTGCTCACTTACCAACAACGTCCAGGTAGCCCATTTGGCTTTTCATCGGATCCGTATTTATTTGGCACATATACCTATAAATATCGCACGCAATTTATTAAGCTGCTTAATTCGGTAGCCAGCCTGACACCTACCAGCCCCTGTCGGACTCCTTGATATCCCTGATGCGCATCGTCCAAGTCTTGTGCTCCGAGTTGGCAATGCCAATCCGTTGATTTTTGGTTATTACATGATTCTGTATCGTCAAAATCGTTTGCGTATCGACACGCAGCCACGCCACCTGTGTGGGAAGAACAACAGAAT